TAAATACCATGGAATCCCCATTTAAATTGTATAAGTTCTACTATCCTGGCCTCAAAGTGTTGTTCTTGATTTAAGCTTTCAAACAGGTTACAGGGTTTTGCATCTAGATTTGTTTTAACATAAATGCATGAGCCTCCATGCTATTTACTTTTCCTACAGAATTTTGATATCAAGGAATAGTTTTCAAAGTTCAAGCATCGCAACACACAGACAAACAACATCAACTACCGACAGACAACACACGTCAACAACATCCTGAAGCAAATAGACTGGGCCAAGCGGGAAAGAAGTCTAGGAATTTTAAGAATTCTTACTTCAAATAACGAAACATAATTTTATAGAATTAACAACGAATTAAATAAGAAAGCTACCGTGGTGTGTGGAAAGCCTTTAGTGAACCGACACTCTGGGTAATTTTAACTATTGTAATTATTTTAATTAACTGGAACGTGGCTATTTTTAACAAAGTGAAGTTTTGTGTGTTGGTGATTTCTTTTTCTACTATAAATGCCTCTGATGATGGCTCCGTGGTGAGCCGAAACATGTAAGGCAGGTGGTGACGAGGTGGAAAACTTAAAAAGTGTCACATTTGACGGAAGGAACTTGATTGTTAATTTGCTAGTGTGACGGACCAGAATGAAAGACCTTAAAAAAAAAAAAAATATATAATAATCTATTTCTCTTTCATCCAACCAATGTTCAGTGATACAGAATATATCCGAGTCTAATGTTTTGTTTGATAATAGCACATCTATATTCAGCTTGTTGTTGTTTAGACTTTGAACATTTTGATGTAATAATTGGATGGTTGAACCTATTTTATTGGTATTTTTGAGAGTGTCAGTACTATTCTTATCTATAAAAAATCTTTACTTAGCTTTTCTGGGAGCTTCCTTTTCCATGTTGACATCCAAATTTCCTGATGTTACTTTCCTTCCAGTGGTGCCACACTGCTGGGAGATGGGTCGACTAATGTTTCATCAGCTTCATTCCCTTGGCTTTCTGCAGTTTCCGCATGGACAGTTTCCTCCTTGTGTTTTCCTGATGTGGCCTCTTCATGTACGGTTCCCTCCTTGTATTCTAGTGGTATAGCATTATTTGCTCTTGCCCAAACCTTTCATTGTACCAATTCTGCTATTTGTCTATCAAGACGATGTTCGGTTTCTTTCCAGGTTCGGGCAAGCATACTGACATCCACAGTGGTTATTGCATCTCTTACTCTGGTATTTAATTGATTGATGTGTCTCACCTGCGTCTTATAAACAATGTCTTTGACATATCCCCAAAGGAAAGAGTCCAGTGGGGTTATGTCAGGTGATCTTGGGGGCGAAGAAATTGAACCACCTCGTCCAATCCATCTTCCTGGAAAATGTTTGTCGAAAGCATCACGAACTATGGTGCTCAAATGAGCTGGCATACCATCTTTTTGGAAAGTCATTTTGGGCTGAAGCGCTTCAGTTTACGGGAATACAAAATTCTGCGACATATCTAAGTAAATGACTGATCTGGCTGTCTTTTCTGCGAAAAAGAAAGGCCCAATGATTTGATCATGCATAAGAGCACACCACACCTTCACTTTTGTGGAGTCTCTTGCCATTTCACAGTGTTCATGAGGGTTCTCTGATCCCAAAATGCATACATTATGGCGATTGACTGTTCCAGAAATGTGGAAGCACCCTTCATCAGAGAACAGTATGGTTGTAAGAAATCTTTCATCATCCTCTATTCTTCATAACACATCTGTTGCAAAATCTGTTCTCGTACTCTTACCAGAGTAAGAGACACAATACCCACTGTGGATGTCGGTATGCTTGCCCGAACCTGGCAAGAAATCGAATATCGTCTTGATATTTTCTGTGCAACAAATGGAGCATATGTACAACTTTATTAAAAATAGACACAGAACTTTTTGAGTTTCTCAGTTCAACAATGTAACCAGTTTATTTCTATCTTCGTTATTTTCCGAATTATGAAGATCAAAATATGTCAGACCTTTTGTAGACACCCTATATTGTTAGTGTGATGGACCAGGATGAAACAAATCAAAATTCTTTAAGGTATGTTATTATATTTGCAATTTTATCTTGTCCAGTGCTGAAGTGGAAGATGAATATCAGATTTCCAGTATTCTGTAAGATATATTGTTAATTTATGCCACATAACCTGTGCAGTACTGCAGTGGAAGATGAATATCAGATTTCCAGTATTCTGTAAGATATATTGTTAATTTATGCCACATAACCTGTGCAGTACTGTAGTGGAAGATGAATATCAGATTTCCAGTATCCTGTAAGATATATTATTAATTTATGCCACATAAACCTGTCCAGTACTGTAATGGAAGGAATATCAGATTTTTGGTATTTTGTAAGATATGTTATTAATTTTTGCCGCATAATCCTGTCCAGTACTGTATTGGAAAATGAATATCAGATTTCCAGTATCCTGTAAGATATATTATTTATTTATGCCACATAAACCTGTGCAGTACTGTAGTGGAAGATGAATATCAGATTTCCAGTATTCCATAAGCTATGTTATATTTGCACATTTATTCTTGGCCAGTACTGAAGTAGAAGATGAATACCATATTTCCAGTATTCTGTAAGATATGTTATTAATTTTGCCATATAATCTTGTGCGTTACTGAAATGAAAGATGAATATCAGATTTCCAGTATTGTATAAGATATGTTATTATATTTGCCAGTTATTCTTGTCCAGTACTGAAGTAGAAGATGAATACCATATTTCCAGTATTCAGTAAGATATGTTATAAAAGTAAAGATATCCCTGTAACAGGCCATGGAGGCCCATAGGGTTGTGAGATGTTGAGGCTACCACATTTTCTAGACAGTCGGCTTATAGATGGCGGTAAGGTTGTCAGCCTTATGCACAGGACACCTCCTCCCCCATAATATTCCTTGTACTTATTTCTGTTAGAGGCTGAGTCGACCCCAGGGCCATAGTGCGGCTGGAAGGATTAGGTAAATTGAAAAAATCCACCTCATTGGGACTTGATCCTGCCACCTTCCTGCTTGTATTATATTTGCCATTTCTTCTTGTCCAGTACTGAAGTGGAACATGAATATTATATTTCCAGTATTCTATAAGATATGTTATTAATTTTGTCAAATAATCCTCTCCAGTATTGCAATGGAAGATGAATAACAGATTACCAGTATTCTGTAAGATATGTTATTAATTCTGCGAAATAATCCTGTCCAGCACTGAAGTGGAAGATGAATGCTATATTTCCAGTATTCTGTAAGATAATGTTATATTTTAGCGTTCTGTTGCACTGATTTTCATCCATTATATGTATACAGTGGCCGTCTTGTAGTGCACTCAGTTCCACCTGTCACTTCACAACATATTTCGGCAACATAGTGCCATCATCAGGTGTCCCAATTACGTCAATCTATTGCATTGCTTGCCCTCATATGTTTTCACAACACCATTTAAAAAGTCCGTATTTGTCAACTATGATAAATTTACATTCGCTAAAACTTGTTAAGATAATTCATCTTATTTGTCTTAATTAAAACTTGTGTGTGGTTCGTTCACTACCGGGTCGTTTTTCTTATTTTCTGCGCAAACCGCGTCTTGTGATGTGTGTTCCCTTCTTAGCTGTGAGTGTTGTAAGATATGTTATTCATTTTTTCAAATAATCCTGTCCAGTACTGTAGTGGAAGATGAATATCAGATTTCCAGTATTCTGTAAGGTATGTTACTCTTTCCCATATAGATTTCAGTATTCATTGTAATTCTGTAAGATATGTTGTAATTTTGCCTTATAATCCTGTCCAGTACTGAACATCATTTTAATGAAATTAATAATAAATGGAAACGTCAATATTACTGCTCGCTATATATGATTTATAATGCTTTAATTTAACAAAAAAAACCATGTTCTGTGTGGCTTTCAAGTGTAAGTTGATACCAAAGGTGTGAGGTTAAATAGAAGTATGTGTGATGGAAACCGAATTTTCTTTCAAGTTTCCACCTTCAGCTTTCCAAAACACAAGCATTCTATATACGTTATAGTTCACAATGTCCAATGCATTTAGGTAAGGAGATGTTGGATTGATATGAATGAAATGTTATGGCTTTACAGGCACTGGTGAGAAACTTTCTGATTTTGCAATATCACTTCACTTGTGTCCTGTGGAACGGATATGAATGAAGTGATATTGAACCCAGTTCAGAAAAAGAAAAAGAAACAACAGAGTAAGAACCTCTGCAGCACAAGAGATTAGGTTGCAAAAGTATGTATTGCTATTTAAGTGAACAGAAGATTCCGAAGGGTGCGGAGGGGAGGACGCATAGAATGGTATGGTAGCATTCTATTTTATTGATGATGCTGTCGGTGCTGGTGGGCATTTTTCATTTAGTCAGGGTACGTGTGCGTAGAGATGGCAACAGTAATGCTACGTGACGTCACCGCGGTCACGTCCCCCCCCCCCAAGCCTACATTATCACTGAGCTTCTGGTGGTGGGGGTGATGTTGTACGATCTTGTAGATGGCGTTACATGGCAAGGTATATGGAGGACAAAAGTTGGAAGAAAGTGTGATAATTATTGTATGTCGTGTTTGGCATTTTAACATAAGAATATTAGATGAACGTTGATGTCATCCGAATAACCTTGCAATAAGATTGAAACTGCTCATAATCTTGAAAGGGTGATAGTTACTTGCGGTATAAGAAATTTCACAGATTTATGTTTCACTACCAAAGATAAATGATGTAATAGTAAGGAAACGTGTGAAACAGTTTCAGGTGAGTGTTAATGTAAATAGTGAGAATTTATCTTGCCGTATTTTATAAGTATAGGTTATCTATACATATTGAATTATGTAGGCAGGGAATAATTAGTGATTTAATAATTTATGTATTTTTAGGAAAGCAACATATTGCTTGACGTTGCCAGAGATCATGTAACTGAATAAGTATTTAAGTAATTTCACGAGTACAATCTGTGGCGAATTTCCCTAATAATGATCTGGCTGCTTGCCAGTTTCATTTATGAAATACTATTGTTATGTTGGAGATTTTCATTATCCCAGTATAGACATTGTAAGAATTATGTTATAAATATTTTGACTTTAACTGGCCCTGTGGATTTTATATAGTTTTGTAGGTCAGATTATGGTCATTTGTACGTCATGTACAACAACTACTACATTATGTAGTTTTCATAAGTTAGCCATTGTGCCACTCATTTTGTATTATGGGATAATTATTGGGTGAATCCATGTCAAAAATAGCTCATGGAATACATTCATGGCAGTTATGTTTAAAAGGACTAGTGTAAAATTTTGAGGAGTCTGTCTAAAGTACCACTGTACCAGTCTGAAACTTAGAACTCAACATGGGCTCCTTGGAAGTTTATTTTAAATAGTGTCAAGGTTAGAAACACAGTTCTTTGAAAAGTAAATATTTCTGTAACAAAAGGAGAATGTCTGTATGTGAGTGATACCTTGATGAGGATATTTGGTCATCATCATGGTCTGTGATTTTTAAGAGATACTTCTGTTTGCTATGAACACTTTTTAAATGGTTTGTGGTGGTAAGTGTAAAGCAGTGTGCAGCCCAAGGACCATAGCAGTATTGTTGAGTCTGACTCTTGCCAGTGTTTCAGTCATGTTCATTACCATCACTAGAGATGTAAAAAAACATATCATTAATATTCTTTGAGGCCCACAGTTATGTTAGAATGACTACACCACATAATCTTTTTCTTATGGATTTCACATCACCACATATTCCATTAAGCAGGTTTCTTTTTTGTTGGATGTACCAAAATTTCACATTGCTTTGATCCCAGACATGGTGACAAATTGGCTGAGCTTTCATTTTTTGTAGCTGGATGCCTGCTCTTTGTCTTGAAAGTGATGAATTGGATCATGTGAAAATTTGAGAGTTCCTTTGTTTTTTGTTTTTTCGCTATATGTTATTTAGAAACATAAAATGTATTGCCAAATGGTCCATCACTGATGACAATCCATTAAATAAGTTTAGAGTTGGAATTTTATGATTGCCTAAACTAAAAAACAGATGGGAGCAATGTGACTTGTGAAGAATTCATTGAAAACCTAGAGCAGTATTTTATATTCTTAGTGAAGAGTGTAGTTCTCAGCAGAATCCACTAGATAGGCAACATTATCTGTAGGCAGCTGTAGCATAACACTCCTCATATGTGCTGACCAGGCTTTGCAAATAAAATGATGCTTTGTTAGAGCTGAGATTTTCTCTACAAGAAGGATGTAGGAATGCTCTGCAAATTCAACAAGTCTGTGACTTATTTATATAAATATTTAATTTTCAGAAGTTTAATAATCAACCTTTTCTTAACAGTATCTAAAGGAGGCTCTTTTGGGTTCTCAGCACCAACATTATAGAGTTTTGTCTTTGTACAGACTACTTATTTTCATTGAGTTGTGAAATGTGACATCCAGCAGCATTGTCCAGTTTGACATGGTTTAATCCATTGTATGGAGCTTGAAAGATTCCTGATGTTCTTTGTTGTAACTTTGCTGTAAAACATTTTCAGACACTTCCAGCTCTTTGATATCCTGGGTATTACATAGGTTATGTTAAAGACTTTTACACATGTAGAGGACTTCTGTTACAGATACAGACTGTTTGGTGGAAAATCAACTCCTAGTACATACATGCATAGTTCATAGTTTCACTGATCCGTTGTCTGATCCGGACCATATATAGAACTCGTCATAAAAAGACTTGATTACAAAGAAACAGTCGAGTCAACAACAGTTACAAACAAATTAAAAATGACAAAAATCCCTTATACACCCTTAGAACTACCAAATACAGGGCTACTATAAATGATTCATTCGTTTTTAAAAACGCCATATTTTCTAAAGCATAACATGTACAAATATGATTGATATATAAAAAGAACCGTAAACTCACCAAGTTTTCTGCACACTCTACAAATGTTCTATGTGTGTCCCTTGGGTCACATGACACATGACCAGGCGGTAGTCGAGCTCATTCCACACATTTTGTAGCATCATCCTGTCAATGGTCATCACTGCAGCATCGATGCGTTCCCTCAGCTCTACTAGTGTTCTTGGCAGTGGGGGTACGTAAACATGATCCTTAATGTACCCCCAAAGGAAGAATTCACAAGGCGTTAGATGAGGTGATCTGGGGGGCCAATTGAACGGAGCTATGTCATCCTCACCAATACGCCCAATCCAGTGTGTCCTTAAATTGCTGATACCACCATAAAATGCTTTGTTTACATGGTGGTTCTTTTCTGTACTCTCTTTTGAATGCGTGTTGCACTGCTATAACAGACGAACATCTCGTATATTCCAACAAACAAAAACTCTTTTCTTGCTTTGTCGCCATTTTGTAAAGGCACTGAACTCGTGCTGCCAACTGGTGCACACAATACAAACTTGTGAGTTTATGATTCTTTTTATATATCAATCATATTTGTACGTGTGATACTTTGGAAAATATAGCGTTTTAAAAACGAATTAATCAGTTATAGTAGCCCTGTATAATGGGTGAAATTATCAATCACAGTAAAGTCTGTGTAGGCAAATATTTATTTCATGCAGTTTTTATTAAGAAGAACCTGAAGCAAGGATATGCTATATTGCCATTTGTTGCAACTTTTCACATCATTTAAAGGTCGAAGAAGACAAGGAATTGGAACTGAATGGCAGATGTCATCCTCATGTCCGTACTGATGGTTCATTGGTCAGAAATATGAATACCTTAATTTTATATGATTGAATGCTGTTTTTGTACAGACCACATGACCACAGTGTCATACTTGGTCTGACAGTAAAGTTCACAGACTTATCATGGTAAAAGTGCTACATACCTCATTGCTGAATATCAATGTGTCCCCTTCAGAGTACTCCCCTTGGGAAGATATGCACCAATCCCAGCGCCTAGTCCACCCTTCAAAACAATTTTGGAATTGGTTTTGTGGAATGACGTTCAGAGCTGCCCTCATGTTACGCCTGATGCAATCAATGTCATCAAAATGCCTTCCATTGAATATTTACTTTATCTTTGGGAACAGAAAAAATGTCATTGGGGGCTAGATCCGGTGAATAGGGAGGGTGTTCCAACACAGTTATTTGTTTAGTAGCTAAAAACTCCCTCACAGACAGTGCCATGTGGGCAAGTTCTTTGGAACCATTTTTGCACACACAAGATCTTCAGTTAAGATTTTCCCAACTGTTTCTCTGTCGATGTTCGCTTACTCTGCTATGCTTCTAACAGTCAGCCGTCAATTTTCACAAACTTTTGCAATGTTTTCTTCAGTTCTGCTCATTGCTTGCTGTCCTGATCTCTCTTTGTCAGCGACACTACCTGTTCCCTCAGAAGAACGTGTCACCCACTTGTAAACTGCTGTGTTCTTCATAGCATTATCCCCGTAAACCTTTACTAACATCTCTCTGATTTTGCATCCATTTTTGTCAAGTTTAACAAGAAAACACCAAAACACGCTCAGCCAATAATAGACGCCACTCAGAAAGACACTGCCATAGATCAACAACAGCACAGCTGTGAAACACTGATATGCCAAAATCATCAAACTATACTAAGGTTTTCTGTCCTCTGCTGCCATGGCAAGCGCACAGTGGTGATTTCACGAACTTTATAGTCAGATCTCGTATATCAGGCTATGCCAATTCCCCATGCACAGATTCCACTGTTTTTTTTCAGGGACATTTATTACTCCTTTTTTTGTGAACTGTGCAAACACGGCATTGCCTAGAAGTATTCTACCCCTTGGAATGTTCACTCTTCACAATTTGCACCAGGGTATTTTTCCGCATATCACTCGAGAGTCGCCCTGGGGGGTCCACATGAGGCCTTCGTGGGGTGGGAGATGATGGACCGGGTCGTGCTAAGTCTTTGTGTTACCCTGGTTCTGCCGCCACCATCTGGACTGTAGCCCAGGTCTTTGCCACATTCATCAGAAATGCTTTGTATTTCAATTTTGAATCAAGGTTTAGATTTTTTTTAGATTTTCTGCTGTCCCTGCAATGTTATTACCCGCATTATCGTCAGAGCTACTATCACTTTTACTGTCTGTGGCCACAATTCTTTATTGTCCCCCATCACTGTCGCTGTATGAATGGCAATTAATCCATTACTACGCATCTCACAAGGCAGGTCAGCTAGGTCATTGGAGGAGAAGTTGTCCTTGATCCATTCTCCCCACTAGGTACTGGCTGATACACACAGCTTGAAGAAGGCAAAGCATTTTCCTTTATAGTCGGTTAAGTAAATAGTGAGGTCAAGTTACTAACTGCTAACTAAACATTCCAGAGTCTTATCACTCATCTGCAGGCGGTTGCGTGCAATGTAGGTGGCACCAGAGCGATGTGTAGTGTGTTGCAACTTATCGTGTTCCAAAAACCTGTTAATACGCGAACGGTCCACCATGTTTAAAAGCGAAAAACCTTTTAAAGGGTGCACGGTCCACAAAGTGTTAACATTGGCACCAGATGGAGGTGAGTGGTCAGCTTCATGCTGCTTTACCTCCGAGGAAACAGCACCAGATACCATTGTGTAGGAGGATGGGTGGGGCCCAGATCCAGTGTGAACAATTGGAGAGGAGAAAAATCACTTGCCCATGATGGATGTTGAACCCTGCCTCCTTGGTTGATAGTGAAATTAACAGATTAAAATTGAATTCACTAAGAAATCACTAAGGGGTTCTGTCTATTGAACATTTGCATCTGTTCAGCTCAGATTCCTTTTCTCCAAATATGCTATCT